AGCAACGACTTTTTATTCTGTTTGTACTGAACCAAAACAAACAACTGTGTATAGACTGCTGTTTTCTTTTTTATTTGAAACGAGGCGTTTCGGTGTTCTTTCCCCTGCCATATGGCCTGTCCACCCACCCTTCCCCTCAACAACGGCTCCAGCAGACTGGCTGAAGGTCCCGTCATCGCCGCAGCCGCAGCCGCACAGCTCCGCTTCGACCTGTGAAGGAATGGGGACGAGGCCAGGAGCTGGTGTCCACCACGGCCACACGGGGAGCAATGTGGGCCCTCACTGGGCCTGCTGTGCATGTGGCTCTTTTTAACACAGTAAACTAGGTTAGACGTCAGTGTTTTAATTGCCCTCTCCTCTACTCTTTTTCTCTCTCCCTTCTCTTTTCCCCTCTCGACCAGGAGACCATCCTTTGTCTCTTTCCCTTCTTCCCCCACGCCAGGGGAGTCCGACTGTTTGAAATCCAGCGCTCTCCCGACCCCCCCCCCCCCACTCCCCCTCTCCTGCTGTCAGATGGATTTATTCCTTTTTTAAACAGTGAACATCGGAAATGAGACTGTGGGGTATTATTTTATTTTTTGTTTTGTTTTTGCTTTTTGTTGTTGAGTGTTTTTTGAACAACCTCATGTCCCCCTCCCAGGGAGCTTCTTTATTTACCTCTTAGAAATCAAAGGGATGGGAGGTAGAGCACTGTATTTCAGCATGCTTTGTTTTATGATGAGATTATATAGCAAGGCTTTCATGCCATTTGGGCAGGTAAGCTTCTGCACCTTCGTTGTGCTCAACTATATTTCCTTCTTCCTCTCATCTCTTCTTTGTCCTCTCTTTTCCCCCTTCCCTTCCTCTGTACCGCCTTCCTGCTGGCCTCCTTTTGTCTTTCTTTCCCTTTCTCAGATTATCCTTCCAGGTTTTCGTAATAAATTTATATTTTGTAAAAGAATTTTGTTGTACCAGGTTTTGCGTCCCCACTGAATCTGACTGGCTTTTATTTTCCTTTCTAAAATCAGGTTTTTGTTTTCAACATCTCTCCCCATCATGTCCAGTCACTGTTTTGGTTTTGGCACCATCAATATCAAATGTACAAACGGTTCTTGCTAACCAACACCAGGTATATCTGATGTTCAGATGAGTTCCAATAAAAACAATTTTTTTTTCAAAAAGTGTCCTTTCTTGAGTGCTGGAGGGCTCCTGACCAAGCCCAGGCAGCTTTGTGTAGCTCTCTGGACTCACCAATGCTCTGCTATTCACTGGCATAGTGGGATCCTTTAGAAGTATAGGGCTTTGGGTTAGAAAGTTGGTCTGTGGGGCTGGAGCGATAGTGCAGTGAATAGGGCTCTTGCTTTGCACAGCCTGACCGAGTTCTGATCCCTGGCGCGCGATACGGTTCCTCAGGCACTGCCACTACACAAATGAGTGTAGTGCCAGGAATGACCCCTGAGAATCACCGGGTGTGACACAAACGTTAAACAGAATAAAAAAGTTTGGTCTGTGAAGTCTGAAATGGAAAGTGGTTTTCAGATATTTTTCCAAATTATTGTAGCCCATTGAGTGTCTGGGTTCTTTTCCTCAAGCACATTTTGAAGATGGTACTGCTTTGGTCGGTTATTTGTGGGGGTTACAGGAAGTTATTACAGCAAGTGCCTGGAGAGTCCTGATATTCAGATGTGGTTGTTTCTATGTAGAATTTTCAGAAGCAGTGATTTTCACAGTACGTCCCTCACTCCTCCCTGGGAGTAGTTCTGAGGGGGGACTATGGGGCTCAGACCCAGGGAGTGAGTTAGGGCTCTGGGGCCACTGGGATGGTGAATTCCGGTTGTCTATTCCACTTCCATCCCAGCAGTACTGCTCTTCTCTGGTGTATTGTTTTATCTGCATAGTTTTACTTGCAGGAAGAGTTTTTGCTTCAGTGAAGAACTTCAAATAATATTCTAAAGAGATGTAGAACTGGAGCAGAGGGGGAGGACTTCCCCAAGCTTAGGGAAACCTGAGGAGCCCAGATGGGGAGCAGCCCACTCCTTTGCTCCAGGCGTCTGATTGATCCCTCTAAATCTGCACTGTCCACTAGGTAGCCACATGTGGCTATTGAGGCCTTGAAAGATGGCTAGTTCCACACTGGGTTATTGCAAATGTAAACACAAAGCAAACTTTGAAGACAAAATGAAAAGAGAAGAAGAATGTAAAACAGCTTAACTTTTTAAGTATGTTGAAATATTTTGACCATATTGGGCTAAATAATAAAATGTTACCGAAATTGATCTGCTTGTTTTTTTTTTTTTTTAAATGTGCCTCCTAGGACTTCCCTATGTGGCTCGCATTTGTTCTTTTTTTTTTTTACTATGGCTTCTAGGAATTGGTCCTTATGTGGCTTGCATTTGTAGCTTGTGTGCTGTATTTTTTGAACAGTGCTGCTCTAGACCGTTAGGCCTATTTGTCTTTGTGGCCTCAAACTGAGTCCAGGCAGAGCTGAGGCAGGTGCTGTGGTGCTGGCTGGGCTGCCGCATATAGGGACCTTTCCTGATACCAGTTATGGTGCCAAGGATTTGAGGGTTCATGAGACTCTGCTGGTGCTGGGAGCAGAGGCTGGGGCGCTGGTGCTTGGGCACTGCTGCATATGTTATGTAATCTGTGCTGCCCAGAAGGGCCACTAGATGCTGCTCTGTGATCCCCGAAAGAACAAAGCATGACTGCCTCAGGAGCCAGGGCTCAGCCCTATTATAGAACACTTTCCGGAAACTAGCGTGGCTTTCTTGACAGGGGTTCAGGGGGTGATACCTGGGCAGCCCGACCCTGCGCTGCAGATAAAGCAGCAGCCTGCCCCTTCAACAGTCAGAGATGGGCTGTAGGAGGAACAGGCTGATTGAGTGGGGTGGGTTTTGGATATCTTCCCTGTAAGACAAACAGCTTTATCAGTCCAATCTGCCTTCTGGATCATTGCTTCTGCTTATTTCCCTGCCTTCTGCCCCACTTCTTTTCGCTTCCCTTCTTACCGTGGCGAGAGGCCTCTCACCATAGGGAAGCAGTGCAGTTCCTGAGGCACCAGTGAGGTGGTGGTGGTGGGGGCGGCAGTGACATCCCATTGATGCTCTGCTGCTTGTGACTGCTTTGACCAGTGTGAGGAGGTAGACAGTCCTACCAATAGCTCTTTTGAAGGTGTCAGGGAAGGGCAGCTGAACTAGGCAAGAGAACACTAAAACTGGTCAGGTTGTAAAGACCCAGGCAGATGCGTGCTTCCTTGGTTTGAATGAATTGCAGCTTGGTACTACCCACCATGAATTGAAGTAGCTATAAACTGAAATTCATCTATGAGTAGATGAATTTCTATTAGGTAATAGATCCGATATGGTGGGTTATAGGCCTCCAAATCTCAAAAGTGTTTGGGGAACCATTTTAACCTCTGCTCAGAAGAATCTGAAGGGAACCTTGAAACATAAGAAAGGCAATGTAGGGGCAGAAGCAATAACGGTGCAGTGGGTAGGGCACTTGTCTTGCACTTGTTTGATCCTGGCATCCCATATGGTCCCCCGAGTCCTACCAGGAGTAACAGTGCAGAGCCAGGAGTAACCTCTGAGCATTGCAGAGTGTAGCTCTCATCCCTCCCCACCCACTGAAAAATGGCAGTGTAGATGTAGGTTTACTTTGGGCTACTTCATTAGGGACTGGTAGAGGGGGTATGTGGCTGGGGTTCATCTTGCCTGAGAAATTCACTGCCCAGGGAGCGCAAATATGACTTTGAAGGGGAGGAGAATAGGAATCACAGCAACCATACTCATGGGCTGCTCCTGTCTCTGGTCAGGAGTAATCAATCCCTGGTGTTGCTCAGGGGACTATGTGGTGCAGGGGATTTAACTGGGGTTGACCTCGGTGACTTGTTAAAGCTTACTGTAGTAGGGGGGTTGAACCATAGTTCTCTAGTGTCTCTGGACCCAGGGACACAGAGACAGGCATGCGCCGAGTTAGCTGTGGGCCTGCCTTCATGGAAGTGAAGAGGACGGCTGCTATGGCTGTTTTCCAAGGGCTGTGGGAGAAGCCACCCTGACCCAGAGCAGCACTCCACTGTGTTGTCACTACACGCAATATAGTGAATGCCCCCATTGGGTGACATCTCAGCTGTTAACAGCACACAAATTCTGGGAGAGGGCTGGAGTCAGCATGTAAAGATTCCATGGCCTCCCTGGGTCCCAGGGACACCACGGCTTGACTCTCCTGTGTCTCTGTGTCTTGTGAACTGAATCTTCAGAACCAAACACACTATAATGGCTTTTGTGAAGAATCTGGATTTTTTTTTTTGCTTGACCGAGGAATAGTTCTTAGTAATAACCAGACTTTGACTCAGAATTGTGTAATTTTACTAGCACCCAGTCTTTATAAAGAGATACCATGAAACACTCGATCGGAGGCTGGCGGGAAGAGCAGCCACTCGGGCTGGGAGATTCTGATCTCTGGGTATGTGATGGCCATATTCGTGACGGGCCGGGCTCCTGGGCACGGGCCAAGCCTTGGTCTGGTCTGGTCCCAGGTGTGGTGTGGGAAAGCCAGTCACCAAGGAACAGCCCAGAGCTTGCCTCCGCCTCTGTGGCCTGTATTTCTCCGCCCTGCCCGGGCCGCGGGCATGGACCGGGGACCAGGGACCGGCGGGACCTAAGATCCTAAAAGCCCCGTGGGGCCGCGCGCGTGGCCAGTGCGGGGCTGCGGGCGGGCGGGCGGCAGCTGCGGGCGGCGCGGCGGGAACAAAGGCAGCACGTGTCTGGGCGGGGCGGCGCCGGCCCCGCCCCCGCCCCGCGCCCCGCCTGGCCCCGCCGGCCGCGCGGGTGCCCGGGACTCGGGCGAGCGCCCGCCGCCGCCGCCGCCGCCGACCCCGGGTGCTGCGTGGGCCGCGGTGAGGAGGGGGCGCCTCGGGCTCGCCAGCGCGGCCCTGCCCGCGGCGCGCGGCGTCGGCGGCGCGGTCCCCGGCAGCCCGGGCGCGAGCAGCGCGCGCGGTCCCGCGGTGCGCGCCGGGCCGGGAGCGCGCGCGGCGGCGAAGGCGGCCGGGCGGGGGGCGGGGCCGGCGCCTGCAGAACCTTGGACAGAAGCTCCGGAGCTGCCGCCGCCGCCGCCGCCGCCGCCGCGCGAGCCCCGCCGAGCCCCGCCGAGCGCCGCCGGGCGCGGGAGCCGCCTTCCGCCGGGTAAGCCTGGGCTTCGGACCGCCGGCGAGCGGGACCGTGCCGCGGCCTCGCGCTCCGCAGCGGCGGGGCCGGGCGGGGGGTTGCGCTGCGGCGGAGGCGGCCGCGCTGCGGCGCGGGGGCGCGGGTGGGGCCGCCGGGCCGAGGGCTCGGGGCCGGGGCGCAGGAGCGCGGCGCGCAGCCGCCCTCCGCCCGCACCGCCAGCCGCACTGCCCCGGCGGGGTGCTGAGAACCATCTTGTTTTCCACGCAGATCCGAAGGGGCCCGCCCGCATCCCGGGAGCGCCCCCGCCTCGTCCCCCGGGCCGCCGCCGCGGGCTCGGTGAGCCGCTCCCTTCCTCGGGCCGGCAGGCTGGGCGCGCAGGGGCGCGGGTCCCCGCGCGGCGCGCAGCGGCACCATGGGCACGGTGCTGTCCCTGTCCCCCAGCTACCGGAAGGCCACGCTGTTTGAGGATGGCGCGGCCACGGTGGGCCACTACACGGCCGTGCAGAACAGCAAGAACGCCAAGGACAAGAACCTGAAGCGGCACTCCATCATCTCCGTGCTGCCGTGGAAGAGGATCGTGGCCGTGTCGGCCAAGAAGAAGAACTCCAAGAAGGTGCAGCCCAACAGTAGCTACCAGAACAACATCACGCACCTCAACAATGAGAACCTGAAGAAGTCGCTGTCGTGCGCCAACCTGTCCACCTTCGCCCAGCCCCCGCCAGCCCAGCCGCCCGCGCCGCCCGCCAGCCAGCTCTCAGGCTCCCAGACCGGGGTGTCGTCCTCCGTCAAGAAGGCCCCGCACCCCGCCGTCACCTCGGCAGGGACGCCCAAACGGGTCATCGTCCAGGCGTCCACCAGCGAGCTGCTGCGCTGCCTGGGCGAGTTCCTGTGCCGCCGGTGCTACCGCCTCAAGCACCTGTCCCCCACGGACCCTGTGCTCTGGCTGCGCAGCGTGGACCGCTCGCTGCTGCTGCAGGGCTGGCAGGACCAGGGCTTCATCACGCCCGCCAATGTGGTCTTCCTCTACATGCTCTGCAGGGATGTCATCTCCTCCGAGGTGGGCTCCGACCACGAGCTCCAGGCCGTCCTGCTGACCTGCCTATACCTGTCCTACTCCTACATGGGCAACGAGATCTCCTACCCGCTCAAGCCCTTCCTGGTGGAGAGCTGCAAGGAGGCCTTTTGGGACCGCTGCCTCTCGGTCATCAACCTCATGAGCTCCAAGATGCTGCAGATCAACGCTGACCCCCACTACTTCACACAGGTGTTCTCCGACCTGAAGAACGAGAGCGGCCAGGAGGACAAGAAGCGGCTCCTGCTCGGGCTCGATCGGTGAGCCCGGGAGCCTGCGTCCTGGCTCCAGGATTCAATTCATTTAAGAAACAAAAAATTTATTACGATACCAATCAGATTTTGTGTACAGTCTCCGTCTAGCGAAGCCGCCAAGGGCCTCTCTCCCTCCCCACCATCTCTCCTGGGGGTTTCTCTTCAGCCCTTGCCAAGAATTCCGGGCGCCGCCGTTGAACTCCCGCGAACCGTGTGTGAAACCCAGAAGATGTCTACCCCAGCCGCTCAGGCCCCTGGCCTCACCCTGCGGGGAGCTGGAAGGCGTGAGCCACCCTGGTACCCCCACACCCCTGCAGGCTGGAGAAGGGCCTCTGTCTGTTTGGGCCCCGGAGGAACGGGCCTTTCTGTGCGCAGGCCCTGCCCTGGCTCCTGTTTGGGGCTGTGTTCTCTCCCCGGGGAGCCAGCCCCCCTGACTGAGCCGTGCCAGAGGCCCTCTGCACTCTGCAGCCCCCTGGAGACGCTGGCCTGGGGCTGGGACTCTGTCCTGTTGTTGGGCCATGCAGGACCCTGGTTTGCTCTTTTCTTTTTTAGGGAGAAGGGCTTTCCTTTAGTGGGGACGTGGAACGTGCCCGACCCCACCCCACCTGGCCCCCCGCCTGGTCCCTTTGTCCCCTGCTACCAGCTGTGTTGGTAGTGTTGGTTAATGAGCTGGTTTGACTCATTAAGTTCTTTCATTTTGGGTCCCAGCTCAAGGGGTGGGGTGAAGCTGAGGACAGCTCCTTTCCTGGGTGAATCTGTCATTTGAATAATGCAGCTTAGTCATCCTGAGGGGAAGGCCAGGACAGCTGCAGGTGCCCATTATCGACAGCCCGCCTGCCTTCTGGGCGGGCGGGGGCGCCCTGCCTGCCTCTGAGCTGGGGCCTGTCTCAGGGCTTGGGCTTCTTGGTGGTGCACATGACAATTGTCCTGCAGACCTGGGGTGGGGGTTGGGGGAGCGAATGGGGGCCCAGAGCAGGCATCAGGGTGGTGTAATGCCAGACCCCTCTCTCCACCCCTGCTCTCATTTAAGCTGTTTCCAAGCAGCTCAGTTTCATCTGATGATGGAGCCTTTGCCCTGCAGGGTCCAGTGGGACGGCTGGGTGCTTGGAGACAATTCCTGCCGGCCCCGGGAATCCTGCGGATTCGACAGCTGCAGCTGCTGGCGTGGGTTTCCGCCTCGCCCCGGTGGCTGCACTGTACCTCGTCCCGTTTTCTTTCTGCTTCTCCCAGATTGGTGGCTTGGGTCTAGGGAGAGCATCAGAAGGGAGTGAGTCTTCTCCATGGCCCATCACTCCAGTTCGGGGGAACAAAGACTAATGTGAAGATGCTACAGAGAATTCTCTCTTCCAGTGCCAATCCCCTGGGGCTGTTTCAGAATGTGGGGAGGGGGGTGGTGTTAGCTGGGGGTGGGGGCAGAGGGTGGTTTTACATGGGTTTAGGTTCGAGGGGGCGGCTGGCTTCAGCACAAGCACTACTGAAACTCACCTGAAAAAAAAAAAAAGAGAAAGCTGTGAAATTGAGCTTCCGGTTTAAGAGGCCTGGAGCCGAGCCTGATGGCCTGAGCTGCTTCCCAGACATAGGGAGGAGGGCTGGCCCCACTGAGCGCAGTGGCCAGGGCCCACGCCCGGCCTGGACGCACCTGGAGGTGCCCACTGAGCGCCCTGAGCAAGACTGGCAGCCAGTCTGCGGCGGAGCTGGAAGGAGGATGTGCTGCTGGCGTAGGCCTCACTGCAGAGCCTCTTGTCTGCAGGGGTTGTCAGTTCAGACTCTGCTGCCACGTGTGACCTGAGGTAGGAGGGCCCGGGGGGCAGCGGCCCGGAGGCCCGGCCAGAAGCGGGAGGCTGGGGTGCCGAACTCCAGAGGAGGGGGCATACATTTGTGCCCCACACATGGCGCTGGCTGAAACTGCGGTGAAGTTGCACCCACAGGATTCCAGTTTTGCGTGTTTCCTTCTCTTTCTCCATATTTATTTTTTTAATCTTTCTGGAGGCGGTGCCAATGTCAGGAGTGGCTGGGGACTAAGGAGACGCTTAGTTCCGTCAGCGGGAAGCCACGGCCGCCTCCCCCCCCTTGCACTGGCCATCAGTATTGTGTAAAGGAACAACCGATATACTTGAGTGTGCAAGCAATGATCCCATTTGACATGCTGCTATGAAGACTACTTTTAGAACAATTAAAAAAAAAAAACAACCTACAAAAAAAAACCCTACCTTATTCTTTAATTGTTGCTTTTACAGTGATATTGTGCATGCAAACCAGGAGCATTTTGTGTCTTAAGAAAAATACTCTTTAGAACAGATGGCTGTGAAAATTACACCCGTGCACAGAACAAGTCACAGGAATAATAGTTCAGGATTTGGTTTTTCTCTTTTTCTTGTAAACCTGAAGGGTTGGTATATTCTTTCCATGCAGTTCTTAGAATTTCATTTTGTTCCAACAGTTGTTACACTTGCAATGAAAAGAAAATGTGCCATTTTTTTCACTTGGAATTATTCATAGCTGTATATTTGAAACTGCTAATTATACATGTGCGGTGTATGTTGGTTTTTTAGTGCAATTTCTTCCGTAGCTATTTTTTGACCAAACTGTGGGTATTGTTAAAATATTAATTTATCTTTGTCTCATTTTGTATGTGTGTGTAGCGTGTTTGTAGGTGTGTGTGGTTTATAATCTGACAAGGTCATGAAGCTCAGTTTGGCTGTAATTTAATTCCCCTTTCCTTATTTTTATTTATTTTTGTACTGTGCTGATTAAATAAAATGCACTGACCATCCATTACCTAGACTTTGTCCCTTTTTATAGATGATTCCTGCACTCAGAAGGTGATTGGATTTGTGCTTGGGGGAGGGAAGAGGCTTAGTGCCTTCATAAGGTTAAGGTGATTAAGGATGCAGCCCAGGTCATGCCCTCTCTAGTGGAGCTGCTGGTGGGGAGGAGGTGGACACCTTTGCTCCCCAAAGGTTCCCTTGGTTTCGGCGCTGGGTGACTGAGGTTCCAGCACAGCTGTGCCCTGGAAAGGCCCTGTTGAAGGAACCCCGGGGCCTAGCCCTCACACCGCTGCCCCATGTCTGGGCCTGGCCCTGCTCAGCACTCACTGCTCCAGTGTTCTCGGGACTGAGGTATCTGCGGCCCAATCCTGCAAAGTCAACTAACTCTGAGCAGGTTTCCTGGTGCGTCCGGGTAAGCAGATACCCAAGCCTCTGTGATGAGGGTGGCACCCCCTACTGGTATCGCGGCTAGTACTGTGCCCACTCATTCCACCCGCCTAAGCCTCAGGAACTAGGGCTGTGGGGACCTGGTCCTCCTGCAGGACCTGTGCCCCATGGCCCTGAGCTGTTCCAGGCACCAGGAAGGTGCTTCTGTACAGGCTTCCCCTTGGGAGTTGCCAGCCACCTTGTCAGGACACTCTGGTTCTTCCCCATCAGTGGCCAGTGGTGGGGTGGCATCCTGTTGCTGCAAGGCCTTGCGTTCTGGGGGTGCCTGTCACCTCTCAAGGGCCCGGCCTTGCTTTGACTGCAATCCTCCACTTTGAGATATTCCAATTTCTTGTTGGCACATCTCTCTTGCTACCCGCATTGTCCAGAGAGGTGCTGGGCTGCTGGTCACTCAGCCCCTCCCCAGGCTGCCGCTGCAGATTCAGGCTTTTCTTCTTTAGTACGTGCTTTGATTCCAGGAAGCAGGAAAGTGAGGCCCACTTCCGCCACCATGCCAGCCTTAAAATGGTGGCAGAAAGGGTTTGGATTTTCTCTCTCTCTCTCTCTCTCTCTCTCTCTCTCTCTCTCACACACACACACACACACACACACACACACACACACGAGATTTATATTTGTGTTAGAAAGCTTTTGGGGAAAATGAGCTTCCATTTCATTGTCTTTGCCTTAATCCTTCCATCCTCTGGGAGAACAATTGACTTTCTGCAAGCTACAATTCCATAATTAGAGGGGCTCGTTTTCAATTACAGATCAGCAGAACACCTTTAAAAATAAGATTTAATGCTTTATTGCTCTTGATGGTAAATCAAAATATGCTTTAGAAATAAAGTTAATTTAATGGAAAATAGGAATATATGCACCAAACCATAAAACTGCATTTAATTAAATCAAGAGAAACACTTCATTGCATACAATCACTGTGTCCTCTGGCTTCCCCCTCGGCACCCTGGAAAGCATTACTGCTTTCACACCTCAACTTCTTGGTCCAGCTTCAGTTGCCACGTGCTGTGACTTCTTTTTAGGACATCGTGAAAAAGTGCTTGTTGCCAGCCAGTCCCCGGCCCTTGGCTGGGAGGCCCCCCACACTGCGGGCCCCGGCAGCCCCTCCTGTCCCAGAAAAGGCACTCATTTGGCATGTTCCGTTTTGGTGTGTCTAAGACAAACATCTGCGTGTCTAGTGCAAAGCGACATGTTTGGGGAAATAAAGTGACAGGAGAGGGGTGATTCCAGTTAGGTGGTTCCACTAGTGTCTACCAGTGATTGGCAAAATTCTACACGGTGGTGGCACCATTCACTGCATGGGCAGCTGGTCGAGCTTCGAGGACATGAACTGGTCGGAGAAGACGCCAGTAGGAGTCTTTATTGCAAATGGCCGCAAGCTCTGGGAACTGGGGAATGGGGGTGGGCAAGGGCCAGGCAGCTGGTTAGTGGGCACTTGGCATGTTCTGCAGGGCCAGGCGGGCAGGACCCGGGGTAGCGGGCACAGCATCTTCGGCAGAGAGTGAAGAGAATGCTAGCCTGGCACCGCCTGTTACACCTGCTAGTCTGTTGCCCCTCTGCCCCCAGCCCCTAGCGGGCACCACCTCCTGTCTTCAAGGCTTTGGGGTTATGGGCTCTCGGCTGAGGCTGGGGGACAGTGGCCTCGGGAAGTATCTGAAGTGCACGTGCTTTCTGCCTGGCGGAAACTGGCAAGATGGCAGCCTCTCCTGCCATGAGCCCCAGTGCCCCAAGCTTGGGGGTTGGGGGAGCGCAGGCATCCTGGCCTGGCCTGCAGTGCCAGGACCCCACTTGGTTTCCCACCATTCCAGTACCCCCACTCCCTTGTGCCCACCCCCTGGCCTAATCTAAGGTCTGCACAGGAGCGTGAAACCGAGGAGCTTGAAGGGGAAACTCGGGGGCCCCCGGCAACTCTGGCTCTTGCTGGGCACTTCTGCTGTTGGCGAGGGTGCAGCCCTGCTAGGGTGTGGGGTCCATGTGGCAGCACCCCCTCACTCGTCTGCAGGGAGGGCTCTGGCTGTGCTGCACGTGGAGCCCTGCAGGTAGACCTGCTCACCTGGAGCTTTGATGTGTGTGTGTGGGGCGGGGGGGCGGTGGCGGGGGAGTCGGGAGGGGTGCTGGTTCTAGAAAGTGGCCTACAGGCAGGGTTCATGGAGAGAGTGGGGCTGCACTCCGAGCTCTTCCCCAGCCCCCAGGGCAGCTAGTCTTTGGATGGGGAACTGCACCGGGCAGGTGCTGGGAACCAGGCACGTGGACTTGGCCTGACCATCAAGGGGGGGCCAGCCCCAGGGGCAGGTGCCAACAAACTGAGGTGAGGGTGGTATGGATGTCAGCTGGGGGAGGTCTAGAGTGGGGGGCACCAGGGTCTTTGGTTTGTTGAGCGGGAAATGCAGAAATTGGGGACAGAGAAAGACGGACACCAGAGGCAGAAAGCCAGGAAGTCACCCCCCAGGCGATAGGTGACCTGGAGAAGGTGAAGAGGGGCACCTCCTCAGGGCCCTGGCAAGCTGATTCCTAGTGGGGGGGCAGGGAGGTGGCGAGGAGCAGGGAGCCCCCGAGTGGAGTGGGGGGCTGGGGCCAGGAGCCGCTGGGCCTGTGCTCAGTTGCCCGGCACGCTGAGGATGAAGCCCGAGCGGTGCTTGGTGAAGTCAGGCTCCGGCTGGTTGAGGCGCGTCTCCACAGACACAGTGCACTTCTTCCCATGCAGGCTGCACTGCACTGGGTTGGTGACATTGACTTGGAGGTGGCGCTTCTCACTGGGGGAGCCAAAGAGAGATGGGGACAGGCGGTTAGTAGGAGTCAGAACTGTCACCCCGTGCCAGCTCCCACAGCCTCCAGGTTTCAGGGTGCTCAGGGGAGGCTGCAGAGGAGGCCACCCCGAGCCCTGGCGCTGGCTCCAGAGACCCCGTGTGCTGATGGCCCCAGCAGCAGAATCCTCACTTCTCTGACCTGTGCTGCGGACCTCGCCACTGCCCAAGCTTACATGGCCGCAGGGACCGACGGTGGAGGATTTTTCCTAATACTTATTTGCGGAGTGACGGGAGCCTCCTAGTGTCTGAGGGAGTGCAGGGGTCAGTGCTCAGCCCGTGGCAGTGTTCAGGGGCACCCCCTGGAAGGCTGGGGCTGGGGGGTGAAACTTGGGCTTCCTGTAGCTGAGTTCTGTACACTCCCCTTGCCTGGCACGGGTTCCAGGCTCAGGGAGGCTCCGGCACCAACTGCTTTTTGCCACTGAGCCACACAGCTCTACTGTCACCCCAGTTTTGGATCCAGGTGGAGACTGGAGCAGTGAGGGTTCACCACGCTGCTGCCCCGGAGCTCGGAAGGGCCCCTGCCCACGTTCGCTCTGTGGTCCTGCACACTTCAGGAGCTGCCCCTTCGTCAAGGGGCCTCAAACCTTCGGCTGTGCTCACAGGCCACCCAAGCCCCACGCGGCACCTTGGCTTACCCCGTGGCCAGCTGGGGGTCAAATGCCCAGCATCAAGCTGCTCTCAGGGTGGAATGGCTGAGCCCTGCCAGACACACGTCTTCCAGGTACCTGCTATCCTGACAGCTGTCACTTCCGCCCTATCCCCGAAGACAGCCTGGGGGCTGAGAAGCTGCCAGAAGGGGACTCCACAGCAGTGACCCTGTGTGTTCACAGAGGTCCCAGACCGCACAAGGACTGAGGACTAGGGCTGGGAAGTGTCCTGCAGGCCAGGACTCCCTGCTGTCCCTCTGGGCATAATGTGCACACACGCACGTGCACACACACACATATGCACACACATACACACTTACTACACACACACAGTTTTGCTTTTTGGGTCACACCTGGTAATGCTCAGGGGTTACTTACTCCTGCATTCAGGAATTACTCCTGGTGCTTGGGTTGACCATGTGCAAGGCAAATGCCCTACCCACTGTACTACTGCTCTGGCCCACCTATGAGCATCCTGAAGTCTTCTGAGCCACATCGAAAACCTGGCCTTCAACAATTCCACCCCCACTTTCCTTGGGCCACACCCAGCAGTGCTCAGGGCCTTATTCCTGGCTCTGAGCTCAGGGGTCAGCCCTGACAGATGTTTGGGAACCATATGGGATGCCAGGGATAGAACACGGATCAGCTGCGTGCAAGGCAAACGTCCTCCTCCCTGTACTATCGTGCCAGCCCCCCTTCCCCCACAATAACTTTCTTTTGCTCTGTTTTATTCTGCTTTAGTTTGAGCCCACACGCAGTGGTCCTAGGTGGGGGTGAGGGGTTGCTGCACTCGGGGCCAGGGCTGCCGCGGGCAGCGCATGTGCCGGGCATTTGGCTCTCCCGGGCCTGGCAGCTATTTCTAAGCTGACTTGAACATAAAAATAGTCACGGCTGTCAGAGGCGTGATTCAGGCACTTCCCCACCTGACCGCATGCCTGTGGCAGTTGGCTGTTGTGAGGGATTGGGGGACCACAGTATGGGTGTGGGGCGTGAAGCGTGGAGAGTGGGGCGGGGGCATGGTGGGCAAGGGGGGGTGGGCGTGGGCTGCCTGTAGCCCACTGAACTGACTTCCGGCTCTGTTGCCAGCACCTTCCCCGTGGGATCCAGAGCTGGGCGGCCTCCCTCTGCCCTCTCTGCTCCGCCTTGGCTCCTGCCGTGGGACCTGTGAGCCGTGGAAACCCCTGAGGGATGCAGGGGAGGCTCCCCTCTGACCCCACAGGGGCCTCATGGATGTGTCTTTCCACACCGTACCACTCGTGCCCATTCTGTGCAGCCTGCAGGGCGCTGGGGGTCCTGAGTCTGGGGACTTGGCCTCAGCAAAGGTTGCTGTAGGAGGGTCACCATTCCCAGTCAGTCTAGAGAAACTCATGAGGTGGGCTGGCTGGGGATCACCAGTTCAGTCGCCATCCATGACGGCTCATGCTCAGACTGGGGAGACTGGCTATTTTCATGAGATTCCTTCCAAAATTGGGACCCCTTTCCAGACGCTGAGTGCTCCCTCTTCCTCCTCCTCTTGGACTCTGGGGCACTCCAGGACCTGCTCATGGTATGGGGGGGGGGGGGTTTGCAGGGATGTGAATGCACTTCTGAAACGTCACCCCAGGATAACCAATCAGGGACAGCTTTGCATATGGGGGGGGGGTCCTGGTTTCATCCCCAGCACCACCCAGTCCCCTAAGCATCCCCAGCAGTGACCTCTGAGCACCACCAATATGACCCCCAAACACAAACAAGATGTGAAGCATTATATGTGGGGGATATGCTGTACTCACTTCTTTTTATAGAAGGGATTTTGCTATGTTCTCAGTTAAATGCTCTGAAAGAGACAGTGCAAGGCGGGTGGTGACCCCTGAAGTGCTTTATGCTGATTGCCCCTTTCTGGTTTAGTTCATAAACCCACAGGAGCACGCCGGTTCTAACCCTGGCTGGGCACGTCACATCTCAGCTCATCCTGTGGCTTTCGTGGCGCTGATCTCCCTTTCCCTTTCCAGAGCCCACATTCTCAGGGGCACGGAGGGACCCTCTTCCTGTGTTCCCAGGCAGGAGTGTTAGTCCCCCACAGCTCTAGCCTTCTACGGGGACTTCTGACAGGGCCCACAGGCTAGGCTCTCCCAGCCCCACAATCCCCTGGGTGCCCCCGACTCAATAAGGCGTTGGAAGAAGGAAGACATGAGCATGCGCCTTGGGCCACTAGACATGCCTGGGCCATGGTACTCATTCTAGAGGGCGTACATGTGACCATCAGCAGGGAAGGCGCAGGGCAGAGACAGGTCTGCTCATTCACAGAGGCAGATTCTGAATGGCCGCATGTACTCACAATGGCTGAGTTCTGTGAGACCAACAGTACATTTTCTATTACCAGGGTTTTATCACCATCACGAAAGGGGAGCAATCTAGGGCAGCGAGATTAACCTTTCAAGTCTGGGGCCTGGCACCTGTCCCCAATTCTGGCCCATGGACCAGCTCTGAGGCCCAAGGTGGCAGACAGGTGGTTTCTGAGCCTCCTACACCCACAGGCCAGCAGCGGACGGTGCTGATCTAAAGGAGAAAAAGGAATTTGCCCTCAAATCATGATTTCTTTTTCCCATTTCAAGTTCAGCCCAATCAATTTTTTTTTGTTGTTTTTTTTGCTTTTGGGCCAAAATCCCGGAGATGCTCAGGGGTTACTCCTGGCTCATGCACTCAGGGATTACTCTCTGGCAGGGCTCCGGGGATCATAGGGGATGCCATGCAATGAACCTGAGTCCACTGTATGCTAGGCAATGGCCCGACCTGCTGCACAATCTCTCCAGCTCTAGTCCCAATGATTTTCAGAGCGACAGGGGGGTTCTGGTCCCCAGTGGTTCTGTGGCAGTCGTGGAGGCCGGGGGCCATCCAAATGCCATCCTTGCCTGCAGAGCTCTTTGGGAGCAGCTGTGCTTTTTTTTTTTTTTTTTTTTTTTTTAAAGAAGAGAGCAGCATAGGGCCAGAGGGTCTCTCTCATCTGCCACAGCCCCTGCCAGCTGCCAGGGTGGGAGGGGGTGGGGATGGGGCTCTTCCTTCCCCGTCTACGGTTACAGGCTTTAGTGGCTCAGCAAACTGGAGTTTGGGGGCTTTCATCTTGCTTCATCTGTTCTGAGCCATCACAGCAGGCAAATGGCCTTTATCAAATTACCCTCCTTCATTTTTCACTCAGACACCAGTCCTCGGCTCCTGAGGGACCGCTAGGGGTCAGGGCCAGGCGGGCGGGATGTGGATGACAGTCATGAGCTGCTTGGCGCGCGGCGCCCTGTTAGGACCTGTGCAAAGTGGGGATCCCAGGGGAACCCCTGTGCATGGAGCCTGGGAACCTGGCCGGTGCTGGGAGCGGAGCTGGGAGCGCCACTTCCCTGCTGGGGGCCTGACTTGTGAGCTTCAAAGTGGGTGGGTGCACGGGCACCCGATGAAGAAGGGGAGCCTGGTGCAACGCTCCGTGTTTGCTCACAGGATGTGCGGGGGAAGGGCACATGGAGGCCCCAGGCGCTGGTGCCAAGGGCGCAGGAGGGGGGCAAACAGGTGCTTTTCAAAGCAAGGGTGATGAATGCATTCAGGGCATCAGGAAAACCCCGAGGCCCAGGCCTGCTGCGTGTGGCGGCTGCCGTGGCCAGTGGCTGGCTGTCGGGGCGCGTGTCTGCCGCCCCTTTCACTTCCCACAGGAAGCAGCTCCGCTCTTTCAAAATCCTGCAGTAGGAAATGCAATTTCCATCTAGGTCAGGGTCAAAAGGGCCCTTTCACCACAGCCCCTTTGAAAGCCACTGCGCAGGCCAGTCCCAGAGGGGGGGGTGTGTGTATAGGTGGGGGAGGGCAGGTGGGAACACTGGGTCTTCCTGGCTGTTGTTTTTGTTTAGAAAAATCAAGTTTTTTTTTTCTTTTTGCGTCACACCTGGTGATGCACAGGGCTTACTCCTGGCTCTGCACTCACGAATTACTCCTGTCAGTGCTCAGGGGACCATAGGGGATGCTGGGATTCAAACCCAGGTTGGCCGCTTGCAAATGCCCTACCCGCTGTGCTCTCGCTCCAGCCCAAAATCAAGCTTTTCTTACCACAGGGCAGCTCTGGCACGAACCTCATGCATGGTCCCGGCTCCCTGCTTCCTGACTCTGCTTGCAGACTCTCAGCTGGCCCCTCCCCCTGTGGCTCTCCCCACAGTCGCCCCAGCGCCCCTCTCTGCAGCTACTGGTCAGCACCTGCGAGAGGCTGGCCACGGGAAGTGCTCCTGAGTTCACAGACAGCCTGTTACCAGCCTGTGATGGGCAAAGGAGCTGGGGGCGGGGGAAGAA